AGTCTACACACAGAGGAGTCAAAACTGTGATGTACACACAACACTCAGGTTCTGGAACAGGACTAAAGTCCAGAAATGGATGAACTAGCAGAACTTTCCGCCAGAGTTTACCGCCTGTGACCGTGAAGAAGAAGAAGAATTTCCCAGAGGCGCATCAGGCACATGATGTTAAATCCATATTTTTATAGACCAATATTATCAGCATTTTGTGGGCGATGTGGTTAACATTACACCAGTCACCTTAACTCTTTGAGTCCCAGAGAACGCATCATACGTTCATAGGTTTTTCCCAGAAACCCAATGAACGCATGATGTGTCAATTTTAATCTCTCTTTACTACCCATTGGGCCTGTGATGCTAAACCCTTGGGACTCAAAGAGTTAACTTCCAAGACCAGATCGACCTGGGAGCCAAGATCACTTTATAAAAATCTGGCCATTTAGAGCACATTTTACTTGCCACAGTGCTTAAACCAATTAGCAAAGTGAATAAACATGAAAGATTATAACCACCACAAAATAATAATAATAATAAACAAACTAATATGCAGACATTCAAGAAAACTCATCTTAAAAATTAGTCAACAAAAATGAATGAAAACAAGGATAATCTCAAAAATCTTAGCTGAAAATAAACAGCAGCTCTGCAGAAACAGAATCAGCAGAGGCAATAAAGACATCAAATACGCTTTAAATTCATGTAAATAACTAGAGGTAATTAAAAAAAAAAAACCAAGTTGTAACCAGAAAACAAAACAAACCAAACAATAACATAATGTGTAGTTCTAGCTGCAAAATCAAGAAAATGCTACAACAGAATTACAACATTCACAAAGAAACAGTTGTGAATTTTATTTTCTATTTTCATTTCTTTTTCTTCCCAGTTTCAAAGGCAGGCATTCAATATTTAAACTCAGTGCAGGGAACAATCTTAAAGAATAATAGTTCAGATTAGATGAATATTAATAGAGAGCCCTTGTAGCTCAGTGGCTTGCACGCATGCCTGCTGGGGTAGTGGCTGTTTGAAACCCCAAGGTATGTTTTCAAAACTAGCTAATTGTTAAAAATGGGTAAGTCTAAAACTGGTACCAGGAAATTAAATGGGAAACAGCAAACCAGGCTCTGGCTGTTTTTGGTCACTTTACCCACGGAGCATCAGATTGCCCAAAACATGTTTCTAGCACCATAAACAACAAATATGCCCTAAGGACTGAAAAGTAATCTCCTGCATCAGGATATCATCAAGAGAGCTGTTCCAGGAATTGTGATCTGTGGAGATACATGAGCGCCTATGCCAGTTGGCAGGGCACATGATGATGATGATACATCAGGATTGTTGTTCAACTTAAGTTTACTCAGGGACCAAAATGAGAATCATCATGGGCCAGAGGCATGAGCCCCAGTGTAAATTCATTAATGCAACACTACTGACAATGATCCACGAGTCACTTGCCAAGGCTCTGCAGGTCAGATTCAGCCCCAGGGCCGCCAGTTCAATAGCCATGTCTTAGGTTTTAACAAATATCAGTATAGATCATTTTTGAAAGGGTGCAGTGAAAAAAAGAACTACCATACTGCTCTTTGTATCATGCATGCTTAGGCACAGAAATGTTTGCAATAATGCTGAAGTAATTATTTCCATTTTACAATCTCTTCAGGGTATTAACAGCATTTTCTTACAATGCAGAGACAAACTGGCATGAAAAAGTGTCAATTGTTCAACATTTTGTAAAAACCAAAAAATGCCACTAATCGAAAGTTCATAATTTCGCTAGTTGAATCAATTCCCCTCGCCGGGAGTACAGGTCGAAACATAAACACCCAGAGACCTAAGGAGCCATTATTCGGATGAGAATCCAAGGGAGAAAAATCACAGATTCCCTTGCTGAACCCTGCACAATACAGGGATATTGATTGGGGCAGCTTTTTGTTAAGAAATAACTTGCAGTCCAATGTAGGAGGGTGCATGATAAAATAAATGACCAAAATGAAAAACAGCAAACACTGCAGCTTTATTATACATTATTCTTCACAAATCATTATAGACCTGAATTTGATAACTGGTTTATGCAACTTTCAACCACTTGTTAAGTTACAGAAAAAGACAAAAAGTTACATGCATATACCTTACAGAACATAATTTCTAGGCCATTTGTAATTTTACTCTGGCAAGTTTGTAATTTTTGTGTCAATTTTACATTTCTGAATGGCCAACGATCGAACAATTGTTGAAGTCAGTGCAAAGAGGACTACAGCCAAATCACCTGCCGCTGAACTGAACCTGGTATGTCAAAATTATAAAACTGTACTTACCATTCCTAAGCCACAGATGCCAATGTTACATAATTAACCAAACATAAGAGAGAAAAATGTAGTGCTTTTCTGGCAGACTAACATGTGACCGTAAAACTGGCCCAGCTGTTTGTTCCAGCCTGAAAGATAAGAGACTCTGCCAACTTGTACATAAACTCTGAGATCATTGAGCTCTTACTGGACGGTCTATCCTCACCAGTAGCTTTATAAAATAATTTATTCTTAGGTTTTCAAAACTAAGAGACCAAAAAAAAAAAGGTTTGAGAGAATATTATGACATAATATGTGGATGGATCAGAACCTGAGAAAAGCATACCATTTATAATGTGATCAATAAACAGAGTACATTTCTCAGTACAGAATGAATGAGTAAGGTCAGCAAGTCAGGCTCACAATATAAAAGAAAAAAAAACATTAGAAAAGAAATGTAGACTATAAGGTATATAGATTCTGTGAAATGACCATGTGACGTGCAGAAGAAAAATGAAGACACAAAGCAGCAAATTTCTGCTTGTGGCCGAGAGAATTATCTAGGTCTGTGTAGTTTATAAATATACAAAAAGTAAAAGATGATGTACAGAAATGGTCAAACAAAGGTGATCTCTACAACACAAACTGAATGTTTCAGCTAGTTTCTTTATATTTTTCCAAAGCGCAAATTATGATATCTAATAGTTTCCAGTAGCCAGTCACCATGGAGTTGGCGGCTAGACGCCTGCCTGCGGATCGGAAGGTCATGGGTTTGCGTCCTGACAGAGCTGGACCTTTTCCTCTCCAGAAATGACCTTACTCCCAGGTAGACCCAGCCTTGTGTAGGTATTAGGTGCAGTCCTGGGAAGTCAAGGCAGCCAGAATGATACTGATCAAAGTACCCATCAAGTGCTGATTGGTCTATAAAAATATAGGTCTAGCCCTTTATTTCGAATACGCCTAAAGGCATGGAAAAGGGACCTCTAATTTTAATAGCTTCCAATAATGGTCAACAGGAAGGCGAACTATTTCACCAAATGCCAGAGAATGTCAGAGGTCAGATGTGTCTGCCAAAAGGTGCGATTCCTGTAGCTTTGCTGTAAACAGGTACAACCCAGTTACGTCCACACACACACAAACCAGTCACTAAATAAATAGACCGCGTTCCTGTAGAAATTTAAGAAACTGTCTTCATAAATGTAACTTATTTACATCCCAGCAGGATACAATCAGCCCTAACTGTTCTGCCATACTGAGAACCTGAAAATATAATTTAATTAAGGTGTATTTATACCTGCAACTTTACTACAGGTCTGAATGATTGCACCAAAACCTAACTGTTCTGCCATAGTGAGATCCTGCAAATATCATTTAATTGAGGTGTATTTACACATGCAACTTAACTACAGGTCTGCATGATTGCAACGAACCCTAACTGTAAGCTATTTTTTTATCGTCCAATCCTGCCTCAGTATGAGCCTCTCTAAATTTACAGGCTGAAATATTTTTTCAAAGTAGCAAATCTCAACCAGTTTTTTCACATGTAGAATAATTTGAGTGATAAGACTAGAAATTTAAATCATGATTTATGTGGAACCAAACATGAGCAACATAAATAACAATTACATAACTGTTATACATCCTTGACTGCAAGACTGTACCATACCACATTTTACAATCCAACTGCAAATATTTTACACATGAGGAGAAGAACTCTTCTGTGCTTAGTTTATGCCAAGGAGAAACAACTCTTCTGTGCTTAGTTTATGCCAAGGAGAAACAACTCTTCTGTGCTTAGTTTATGCCAAGGAGAAACAACTCTTCTGTGCTTAGTTTATGCCAAGGACAAACAACTCTTCTGTGCTTAGTTTATGCCAAGGACACTATGCAATATGTGACAATCAGATGATGTATTTCTAAAAATTATAATATTCTACAACTTATTTCTATCACATAAACACACACTCAGAAAAAAATAGATTCTAAATTACCTTTAACCATTTGGGTCTACCCTAAACAAAGGGTGAAATAAAATAAGTGGTGAACCTACAAAGATATGGGTACAAATAACTGACTTCTGTAAACCCCAAACCTCTACTTGCAGCTAAGTTGAATTAAATGAATATCGATTATACAGCAAACATAATGAATTAATGATAATGTTAACATTTAATAAACGGACACTGTGGCATGATGTTTTCAATATATGGTTTATGCACTGAAATCCAAAACCAATGAAAGCCATGAAGTTGTTAATCTACAGTAAGTTGCATAAAAAAAAAAAAAAAAAAATGAAACAAATGATTTACACCCAAAAAAAAAAAAAATTATCATAATAAAAATATTTTAACTACCATTTATAATGAAAAGATGTTATGCTTTCCACAATTTAAATTTAATTCGAGACAAATAAACTGTGCAACATGTTCTATACGCTGTCTTGAGTTCTATATTTTCCAACGTACGTTTTCTTGAGTAAATAGTTTCATATTTGCACAAGGGGAGAAGAGTTCCAACTATGTAATAAAACATTTATGAACAAACTGTGAAGTAATATTCTTTTTCCCTTCAAATTAAACTTCACAAAAATTTAAAATCTTTTCAACTAACTAGTTTAATGCACAGATTTATATTTATGAGAGTAGCCTACCTTGCTATCTTTCCGTTTTCAAAACCAGATATAAGCAATGGAAAAAGGGGGGCAAATAAACGACACCTTCAACTAGGGTTTTCTTCACAAGCTTCTGCTTTGTCCGATTCCTCTGGCAATAACTCTTTGCAATCCCCGGACGCCTCCCTGTCGTCAGTAAACAAGGGGTTACCCTTGACATCCTCGGTTTCATTTAAGTCCTCAAGTTCAGCTGGAGAAATCTGCTCAAAATCATCTTCTGAGCTCGAAATGTCCTCATCCTCAACATCAGCCTCATTGCCAACCTCGACAGGAGGTAAATCCCCAAGGAAGGAGCGGATTAGTTTGGCAGTGGACTCATGTTCGCTGTTGGACAGGATAAATAACAACCATGTTAGGATCAGATAAGTTAACAAAAATATATATATATATATATATATATATATATATATATATATATATATATATATATATATATACATACACACACAACACACACGCACACGCGCATGTACGCACACACACACTTCCTATTTTTCTGTCCTAGTTTTTTTTTTTTTCTTCTTTGAAAAAAAAAAAAAAAAAAAAAAACTCTTTCATTTCTTCCTTTCTTAATTCAAACATGCGGCCTCAGTGCACTCACAATACTGACAATCATTAAAGGGAATTGAAACAACAGAAATGAGCTGTCTAAGGCGAATCCTAAATGTATTTAGCAGAAACAGGAACAGACAAGAAGAAACATCTCAAAAAGCAAGTTGAGAAATAAGGCTCAAATAAGGATCCTCATCCATGAGCACACCCAGGGTACATCATCATCTACACAGATGGATGATCAATGAGCATGCCTAATAATATCCAAACTGGCAAATCCCACCAAGAATGGATTGACAACATCCAAATGTCCTGCCTCAAGAAACTACCGTGGCTGTACACAGCATGTCACACCAGGGTGTAAGGAAATGAAAGAGCTGAGAGACTGGCCGTGTCAGTGCAGGAAGAAGTATGGCCAGGGCAGAAAACTGAATGTGTTGCACATTTCAAGCACATTGAGACAAAGAGTCAGAGACAATGAAACGTCTCTTGGAAATGATTATTAAACAAAGATAAGCTTGCAGAAACTGGCTGCGGGACAAAGAAAGAAGATATGTCTATAAACTCCTACTAGGTATGTTTTATCAGCCATGCACTCAGAACGGATAAGACAAGACTCCCCCCAACAAGCCCTCATGGATACCGGAAGGAAAAGAAAATGGAGAAGACCAAGAGAGACCTTGCATAGAACCATCATCAGGGAAGGCTCAACCATAGGCCAAATAAACATCCAGGACCTACAACAGGTGGCAACAAAACTGCCAGACATGGAGAGTTATGACCTCCACTCTATGCGCTGCCTTAGGCTCAAGAGGAAAGACTAACTAAGGTATGTTGAACATGGAGACAATAAGATGGAGCAAGACTGGGTCGGACCGATGAACTAGGATGTTGATACTGACAACAAGTTACCAGCTCTGACAAGACCAGATAAAATCATTTAGTGGACCTTCTATGGTCCGCAGCCAGATGCTCCCCCCCCCCCCCACCAAAAACGATTCAACATGGTAACTTGACCGAGTCAGAGCCAAAGAAAGAAAGTAATCTATGTCCTAAAAATAAGTTTAATAAAAACTAAAAAGCAGAATAATTTTCTTAATGAAATGATTCACCTGAGGTCATCAGTAGTAAAAATCTCGGTGACTCCCAGCTGAATCCCACTGTGAAGGGAGAGAACTACATGGTAGGCTCTTCCAGAAGAGTTGCCCTCTTGTTCCTCAACCCGCACATCCTTTATATCCTCTAACCTGGCTTTAACTAAATGGAAACAACAATTATTGCACATAGTACAGAAAGTAAAGGGAAACTGCATGGCTTAAAGGTTAGTGAAAGAGGTTAACAATTTCACGATTCTTGAGTACTGTGGTTCGTTCCCCAAAATGGATGGTTAAAAAAAAAAAACGGCCTTGTGGTTTTCGGACAATGGTTTGAGAGTCGCACCGTGTAAGAGACAGGAGCCAGACTACATAATACTTCCAAAGACAACACTGGTAAACTGTAGCCAATCTTTAATGAGCTAAGTGGTACCGAGAGGATATAGTTTTGTCCCCAGCTACAGAGCTTAGTGCATGACATGACACTGTGAGCTGCAGATTTCATTTGAACTGTTTTTTTTCAACTGTGACCAACGTGCTGCTGCAAACTGTAGATTCAGAAAATGTTGTGTAGCCACTGTATTAGTGGTACCATATGTGATTAAAATTAATTTGCGTGTACCTGTTGATCTGTTTGTAACTGCAGCTTCCGTCGATGATAAACTGCCTTTCTAGTGTAGGACCGCTTGTATTCTCACTTCTGATGGGTGCCTTATGCTTTTAATGGGCGTGCGAACGCGTGCATGTGTGCTAGTGAATACGCTGAGACTGCTGGCTGTCAATATTTCCACAAAGAACAGTGATGGACATTCTGTGTGTTTTCCCCTGGCACAGGAGTGGAGCAACTACTAGGTGACCCGCTTGCCATGGAGCAACTACTAGGTGACCCGCTTGCCATGGAGCAACTACTAGGTGACCCGCTTGCCATGGAGCAACTACTAGGTGACCCCTTTGCCATGGAGCAACTACTAGGTGACCCGTTTGCCATGGAGCAACCACTAGGTGACCCGTTTGCCATGAAGCTGAAACTAAGATTACCAAGATTACCTGACCCTGGTGAACCACCATGTGTGACTCAGCAGCTCTGAACCCCACAATGAATGTTAAAATCAAACTTACCATAAGGGGACGTACCAATGCACCCGAAGCAGCCCAAGAGATACTGGCACCAATGAAGACGAGTTATTCTCACTTCAGAAGTGATTTTATCAAACTCACAAATCTGGGAGATTTCAAAGATAAAAAAAGATAACCTCTGTTTAAAAGAAGAGATAAAGAACAATAAAATTAACTGACTAAAATAAATATAACCTTCTGCTTCTTCTTCTTTATGTCCTCTTTTAATTATAGCTTCGGGTGTTGAGGGGGATAGAAGGTCCTGCTTTGTGTTTTTCTGGCTGCTTCGACCAAAGACACATCATGGTGCTGTACAGTTTCTCTGACATTATCTTCCCATCTTGTTCTTGGTCGACCTCTTGCTCTACGTCCTTCTTTTTGTTTGGTACAGGCGTTGTATGGTATAGCATCAGGATAAATAAATACAATTGATGATCTTTAGTTCAATCTTCTGCCATTTAAGCCCCCGAGGAGCCTAGACCCTCAATCAAATCATCCGATCCCTCGCTATCCGCATGCAGCCCATCCCATGTCTGCCAGGCCCTTTTGTAACATCACTCTCTAGCTCCCTCCTCCGTGTGTTTCTGGGCCTGACTTCATTTCTATGCAGATGTGGGCCCCATCATCAACCAATCAGATGCCATCACCACAATAAAGGTTGGCTGCAATGAATCTCCGACCTGTTCCATCTCTTTTCTTGGTTTTACACTCTCTCAGACTTCTGTTCATCCATCTTTTAATGTTGTCCTCCCACATTTATCGCTGTCTACCTCCTGCTCTCTTGTCCCTCCAGTATGGTTTTTAAAGCGTATTATGTCTTTTAAAGTGGCCAAAGTATTTCAATTGTCTATTATTTGTTTTATTTCTCTTCAGTTCCATAAAAACCAACTAACCATGCTAAAGTTTTAAAAAAAAAAATGAAAAAAAAATGACCACTATACTAACGCTGCAAAAAAAAAATCCCACTCACCTCATAATTATCAACAATAAGGAAACTGAGGAGGGTAGCGCCAAGACCAATCAGAATCTTGAAGAAAAGGGATTCTGGAGAAAAAATACAAACACAATCAACAGTATTCCATTATATGCTGATAAGTGTAAGATGACCACAGTTCGTGATCTCAAATGATTAAGTCTTGGATTTGATCTGTTTGCTTGTCCTAATTATCCCTGTGTGGGTCCTAGGGTCCCATTATGGGGAAAACAAGACTAGACTCACTGTCCACAACAAGCACGTCGCAGCAATTGACTAAATGGGCACTTAATTCCAAGTTGGAGAGGAAAGGAACACCCAAATGCACACAAATATGATAGAAAAATGAATGAACATTGAAAACTGAGGCCCTGGCACAAAGCCAAAGTCCAAATGGATGAACAATCAGGACTTTCTGTCGGAGCTTACAGATGTTAAAAAAAAAAAAAAGAAGAAGGATAAGTCATTAAAACTTCTCAGAAGCTTGAACACAGGCATCTGAGATTTCTTTATCTGGGATTTCTTCAATCTGCTGTTACATTAAAATGACGGAATGATCCTAAATTAACTGGGAATACAAGATAATGGTGGTAGAGGTGGTGGTGGGGGCTTTTTAATAGGAATTCAGGGACCATAATTATGACTTCTTGAGAATTCCCTGGGAATCCTAGGTTCTGTAGATTTTTTTAAACAATAGGAATTCAGTGGAGAAGGGGTTGGACTCTTAGTTTCACTGTTTTACTGACATTAAATTAGTGTTAAACTTTATTGTTCATACTTTTTGGAAGCCAGCAGCTCATGTTTTTTTGCTTCTGCAGTTATATTTTATTTATAAATAGATATGCTATTTCAAAATCTGGCCACTAGCACCAGTAGGACCTTGTTATCACAAGGAGGCAGCACTTCAAGATCTGGCCACTAGCACCAGCTGGACCTTGTTATCACAAGGAGGCAGCACTTCAAGATCTGGCCACTGGCACCAGCTTGACCTTGTTGTCACAAGGAGGCAGCACTTCAAGATCTGGCCACTGGCACCAGTTGGACCTTGTTATCACAAGGAGGCAGCACTTTAAGATCTGGCCACTAGCACCAGCTGGACCTTGTTATCACAAGGAGGCAGCACTTCAAGATCTGGCCACTGGCACCAGTTGGACCTTGTTATCACAAGGAGGCAGCACTTCAAGATCTGGCCACTGGCACTAGTAGGACCTTGTTATCACAAGGAGGCAGCACTTCAAGATCTGGCCACTGGCACTAGTAGGACCTTGTTGTCACAAGGAGGCAGCACTTCAAGATCTGGCCACTGGCACTAGTAGGACCTTGTTATCACAAGGAGGCAGCACTTCAAGATCTGGCCACTGGCACTAGTAGGACCTTGTTATCACAAGGAGGCAGCACTTCAAGATCTGGCCACTGGCACCAGTTGGACCTTGTTATCACAAGGAGGCAGCACTTCAAGATCTGGCCACTGGCACCAGATGGACCTTGTTATCACAAGGAGGCAGCACTTCAAGATCTGGCCACTGGCACCAGTTGGACCTTGTTGTCACAAGCAGGCAGCACCTGAACTATAATACAGAGACATTAAAATAAGAATACAAAAGGCAAGAGGAGCTTTCATAGAACTAGGGAATTTGTGGAGGTCAAAATAAATTAAAAGAAATAGTAAACTTAAAATTTGTAATTCTTATGTAAAATCAGTACTTTTATATGGGGCGGAAACATGGGGAGAGCTTCATGTAATAGCGAAGGATAGAACGACTTGGTGTGAGTTGGTTGAGGGCCTATGCTCCTTTGGGGGATAGAAAGGCAGAAGAATAAAGAATTACAAATTTGTTGAGACTGGATGTGTTGGGTATAAAAGTGCAGATATCACAACCTAGTTGTAAATCACAAGGCGCTGAGTGTTTTATTTTTGGAGAGTGAATGCAGAAGGAAAACAAGAACAATCAACAGTTACTCACCTGATCCAAACACAATAATTCCCACAACACCAATGAAGAATCCTGTGAAAGGAGAAATAGGAAAGGTAAAACAATGATAGCATGAAACTTGCAAGTCCCTGGTACTAATCAAATATTACTCAACTCTTCCAGTAACAACTGACTCATCATATGTGTCCTGGTTTTTTCAAAGGTTCTATACTGGCAACTGGGTCGCCCACTGGCTTGCTAGTAGATGACTTTAGCGCTGGTCGGGACAGTATTTGGGTCTGTCTCCTTTGATGGCATCAACACTGCAGGGGTCCTTTTCAGGGCTCTTGGTGGCGTGCAAATGCTAAGCCATTTTATATGGCACACATAACCTAGTCACAATTATAACATAAAGCTCCCCCTTTATGGATGCTGGTTGAACAAGATTATTTTTTTTTTTAGCAAAGCATTGGATCGGATCGCGTAATGTTCTTGCTGTCTTCTATCTTAAAGAGTTGTTATTTTAACCCTTTTGCGTCTGAATTATTAGTTCAACCACTTCTGTCATATGGTGCTGAACTCATTGATCCTCATATGGGTTCTGGGGGCCTCACTGTAAGGAAAACAGGAATAGACCAAATGCCTCCCCAGCAAGAGTGCCATAGGAGTCGGCTAAATGGGAAAATCCTTCGAAGATACAGTATCTATGCCCGAGAGGCAAGGAACAAAGAGTCTCAATACTAACAAGCCAGATCCGTGAGACAGATGTGCACACAACACTCAGGTTCTGCAACAAGACTAAAGCCCGGAGGTGGACAAACACCCAGAACTTTCCACCGGAGTTTACAGCAATTGAACAAAGAAAAAAAAAAGAACTCAATGAGACCTGAGTATTTATTGCTTTTAGGCTCAACTCCATGGGGCAGAAATGGTTGAGGAAATAATTACTTGGGTCAGAAAGAGTTAGCTCTTTCTGTCCTGTGTGGTAATGCCATGTTAAGACACTTGCATATGGACCAGAAGGTCTTAGGTTCGAATCCACAATGAGACAGATTTCCATTACTGACCTGGGCTCCTGGGATGAACCATCTGGAAATGGGTACCAGGAAATGTGTGGTAAGCAAAGGCTGCAGTCATGATGACCACAACGAACACCTAGGGGCGTGACAAGTAAAAGGACACTTTGCCACACCTTCAAGCGTATTGGGCATATACTGCCAGTAACATAAAGGACCCTTAGCCACACCTTCAAGCGTAAAATTAAAGGTAAACGTGAGAGGATCGACTTCACTGAACTGGTTTTTATCCCATATGGCTCAGTCTCTCTCCACAGAACAGCTAGCTGCCTGCCTAGAGCGTTGCACAGAGTACAAACTCTGTAGCTCCAGTGAAGATCCCCAGGGATGTCCGTTAAAAACTGCACCTGTGAACTGAACGCCGGGGTTGTGAAACGAACCCACAACCTTCAGAGCGCTTGATTACTTTGCCATGGAGGACCCACCCCCCCCCCCCCCCCTTTCTTGCATTCAGGTGTATTGAGCATGCAGTGCTAGATCTACATTTTACAGACTATAATCGGCACTCAGCAGTTGCTGTGGTCCACATCTCACTAGCCATCTTAACTTTCCAGTACTTCACTGGCACCCACTTATGGTTGGTTGAGCTGGGAGCCAAGGTCATTTTGCCTGATATCCTAAGTCATCCCTTTGGGGTATGCAATTTTTTGTTGTTTGAAGCCCCACCCTGGCTTTTGCTGGGGGCCCTGAATATAGCTGGGCCAAAATTGTGGCCATAACAGCTGAAAGGGGTTTCTGGGACCTCTCCATGGGTGATCCTCATCTGCATGGTGGCCCTTTGTGTCACTCAGTGTTTATTGCTTGTGTGATGTCCTGGTGGGGTACAATAAGCAAGCAAGCAAGGTCATAAAAGTCCAGATCTTTTAAGAAGTGGTGTGACAAGTGCTCCCTTTTATTCTTTACTTTACATTTTATGAAGATGGGTCAACACTGTGCCATGTGGCCATTAAAAAATCTGAGTGAAGGCTTTGTAGGAATTAGTTCAGAGTTTTTTTATAACTAATAATCCTAAGGATGTTATACACTCCCACCTGACCTGAGGGTAGTGTATCTGATGCTAAACCCTCTCAGATAATAGTGAGAGAGTGGGAAGACCTGTATGTACATTCTACACATTCAAATTCTCTTGGCAGAGGAGAATAAAACAGAATATGGCTTTGCCTTCTTCTTCTTCGTTCGTCCAAGGAATTAACCGTACTGTGCCAATTTACAGCAAGACTGGGATATTTGCACCTTTAGGGTCACACATTTGGCTTCTTCAGGCATTTTTAGTTTGGGTTAGACTCCATGGAAATTAGGCATATTTCATCTTTCACTGCCTTTATTATATCATTTGGGGGGTAGGGGGACGTGATAGAATGATATTTTTATCCTCAAGATTTAGAGTTGTGTGGCTAAGGTTGCAGCCATGAACAGCGCAGGTCAGAAATATACTTTTACAGAGGATTAAAACACAGGTCTCTAGAATGACAGACCAGTGTTTCAAGTGCTCAGCTGGACAATCCTCAGATTATGCTTACGCCCAGACTCAATTGAAAAATAGTCAAGAACATGTGTAGTTTTGACAGAACCCGTCAGATCTTTGCAGTTTGCTACAGAATGTGTCTTTACTGCGTCCACACAGGACTGGGACACTGAGTTGTAGTTTACAGCTAGGCTGTGATTTCTGTGCCTTTCAGTACAACACATACAATTTCAGCAAATCCATAATCAGTTATCTTTAACAACATGCTTCTGATGTTGGCAGTGGGTCTAATCTCCTCCCCCCCCCCTACCTGGAGGCAGGATCACATTCAGGAATCTACACAGTTCAACTGCAGGGTTAACAACTTCCTGCATGATTAACAAGAATTTGTTAAGGAGAATGTAAGCAATATTGTGGAATTATTGGAAAGAAAAAACCAAGCAGCCCTCAAGAGATATGAAAATCGTAAACAAATAAATGAAAATAAAGGTAGGCAGTCACTATTTTTTGGACAGTTTATGAGAAGGAATAAACTGAAGAACTTGGTGACAACAGGCAAGAGGGATGGAAAACCGGCAAGGGGAAGGCAAAGATATTTATACCCGGAAGGCTTGATTAAATGAATCTGGTGGGACTAGAACTGACTATGATTCTGATGATCCTGTGAGATAGGAAGCTTATGGGCAGGGCACCAAATAATACTGATGTGATCAACAGAAGAAGTAAAGTAAAGTACAGGACCCATTTCCACGCCTTCAGGCATATTGGGCACACAGGGCTAGACGTATATTTTATTTAGACCTATATTTTTAACGTAACGCTGATCAATAGAAGAAGCCTGCAGTATCTATGCAGGTATCAACATGCAATGAAGAAAATCCAGTATAAAATAACGAAGTGCTGTTGGCACTTCAAAGATTGAAGAAAAAGTGTTTTGTTTTTGTTTTCTGCATTCAACAATATTAAAACAACTTACCTACAAAAACTGCTTTGGAGAGGAAAGTGGGTTCTCTAAGCAGGCTCAGTTGTGTATCAGTGTGCTTCTTAATGCTCATGTAGCCCATGGCTCTGCATGAAGTGATCAAGCTGTGGTTGGTGAGAAAGACAATCAAACAAGTGATCAAGTTGTAGTTGAGAACACAATCAAACAAGTGATAAAGTTGTAGTTGAGAACACAATGAAACAAGTGATCAAGTTATGGTTGGTAAGAAGACAATCAAACAAGTGAACAGGTTGTGGTTGGTGTTAACACAATCAAACAAGTAATCAAGTTGTAGTTGAGAAAACAATCAAGCAAGTGATCAAGCTGTGGCTGGTGAGAACACAATCACTGCCCATCCAACAGGCATGTCAAAAAAGGCGGCTAATTAGAGGTCTGCTGAAATCACATGTGTTGGGTCAAAAGGTGGAGATACTGCAGCCCAGCTATAAGCCGCAACACAACATGCCAACTTGCTTTATAGGGTGATCAGAGAAGAAAAAAAAACAACATATGACTGACCTGTCGGGCCAACAGGCAAGTCTGTGCTCTATTGCATCTCCAATTGTGGCATGTATGTGCATTTATCTCAAGCTGTCAATGAGATGCTGTCTAAACAACGAAGTTTGACAGCAATGACCTTCAGCACTGTCTTTCGCTTGCCAGCCCTTGTTTTACACTCTGAAAGAGTGCTGTTCATCCATTTCTTTATGTCGTCCTTCCACTTCTACTGATGTCTATCTCTTGTTCAATTGCCTTCAACTTTTCTCTCCTGCACAATCTCAATAAGACTGTAATACCTTTTAATGTGCCAAAATATTCAATTGATTTCTTCCACAGCTCTCATTTTTTCTTCTTCTTCACGTTCACCAGCTGTAAACTCTGACGGAAAGTTCTGGTTGTTCATCCACTTCTGGACTGCAGTCCTGTTCCAGAACCTGAGTGTTGTGTGTGCATCCATTTTACATATATGACTCATTTGTATGCAGACTGCTGGTTCCTTGCTCTCAGGCATATGATCTCCAACTTTGAAGAAAGCTCCCCATTAGTCGACTATTATAACATGCTTTTGGGTAGGCAGTGGGTCTATTCTTGTTTTCCCTATAATAGGGCCCCTGAACCCACACAGGAAAGCTCTCATTTAATTATGTCTTTCTACACCTTCTGTATTTGTTTGATTTTGCTTCCATGAAATAAACCCTCTTTGGTCAGGTAATGAGAAGAAAACTGGAGCACACTGTGGAGGTGGGAAAGTGGGAGGGGAAAGTAGGCAGAAGGAGACCGAGAAAGAAGATGCTGGGCAGTCTGACATCATGGCATAAAAGATCATCTGCATCAGAACTGACTGAAAGTACACAAGACAGAAGATTGTGGACAGACATGACTATCAATGTCACACAACATGGATTATAAGAAGAAGAAATACAACCTGTTTATCCATGTTCCAACAAGTAAAGGACAAGCTAACTGTTGATTCAATGCTTATGTTTCTGCACCATGTAAAAATCTCTCTCTCTCTCTCTCTCTCATTCATACACTCACATATATGAAACAATTATTTTTTTAGTGTGCTGTTTATACTGTTTTCATATTTGAATTATTTTTGTCAACTCCTATTTGCTGTAAACAATATTATCCAATTCACATATGTCACTGTCCTTACACACATATTTATTTATTTCCCAAACAAAAGGCATTTGTTTTCTACTCCATATGTGAAATGTGTAACAGGTGTTTTAAACATTTACAAATTATTAACCCTGGATTCTTTTCTGTTACGTTATGTTTTCACAATCAACATCAATGCGCACTGGATATTCCCACGCATGCTCAACACTATGATGCAGCAGCCAACCCAGGTACTTTACTGACTGTTCCTTGAGAAGTTGGTTAAAATATCTCCTGTCTTGACTTCAAAGACAGCACAGATGTGATTCATCAGGCTTTACTCCAAGGTGAATTCTATTAAATTTGCTCTAATTGCTAAACTTTCTGTACATTGTAGCAACTCTTCATCTATTCCTTTTCACATCTATTTTACAATACCTCCTTCTTCTGAGGTTTTTGTTTAAAGGGAAGTTGCCATATTGTGTTGTGGTTTACAGCTAGGCTGCAATATGTGCGCACTTTTGGCCCAACACATCCAATTTAAGCTGATCCTTAGTAGATTTTTACGTCATGTTTAAGGGACACTGAGTCTATTCTTTTAGGTGGTTATGAGTTATGCTTTGGATTATCTTCACAGCACTCCGGACACATCCATAGGTGCTCAAAATCCCCTTCAACATATTCACCAGCGCCGCGTAGTTGTGGGATGCAATTGTTCGTTATTTGAAGGCCCAACCTGGCTTTTGCCAGGGGCCCTGAATAAAGCTGGGCTACAAATGGGGCCCAAACGGCTGAAAGAGGTTTCTGGGACCTCTCCACGTGAAACTCTCATCCGCATGGTGGCACTTTGTGTCACCAGGTGTTTATCGCTTGTGTGATGTCCTGGTGGGGTACAACAAGCAAGCAACAGTGCGAGTCCTATGCTGGTTAACAAGATTTCTTGTGCGTCCGGTGTGCCTTTGATGCTTGGCTGTGCTGATCTTTATTCTCACTTCTTGTATTCCTAGCAATGATGTGGAGACACTGCTTCAAAAATCCTTGGATCGTCTATCTCTCTAAGGGGCTTTAACAATGTTGGCGTGATACATAGGCCGGCCATTTGTAATTAATGCAGAACTTGCCAATCTATCAGCTCTTTCAATGCCAACACCTGCATACTCTGGGGAAAAAATGTAGGAAACTGCATGCACAAGACAGTTCTGCAATAACCCAGTCCACTCTCTATGTATGAAGTCTGCACCAACCCACCGGATCATGCTCATAGAATCAATCAGCACGCAAATATGGGAGTAGTCCTGCGATTTCAGCCATAAGAAAGCTTGAGTTACCGCCATCATCTCAATCATTATGCTACTGGTAGTCACAGAAAGTTGTTCCTGATGCTGTTATTCCATCTTCTGCATAGTCATCCCCTGACTGTGTTAACTGTATTTCTTCAGCATGGCTCTCTGTGGCAGTTGGTACCAGGGCATTCTCATCAGGTGACCAATTCATTTGTTGCATGAGTGGTTCCAGTCCTAGTCTTTAAATAATTTAATTTTCAATTTTTGTCTTTTCTTGTTACTCCTGCAGTTCTTCTAAGACATCTAAATATAAAGTACCAAAAAAAAAAATATATTTCTAATTGTACCAGACAGACAAACAAGCAAACCAACAATCATTCAAAACCCAGCTTAACAAAAGTGTATAAAAAGAGAACAGATTATCACTCCAAGAACTTATAACTGACCTGTACCGTGGTCAAATTAGTTCTGTAGATGTTAGGATCAAAATGTTTGATTGAACTGTATGCTTGCTAACTCCACTTTTGTCTAGAATGTTCCCTGTCCTTGAGCCATTAACAGACACAAGATGGCTGCCTCACACAATACGAAACATGAGATTAGATGTAGATTTCAAAACTTATTTGGCATACAAAAACTTTTTTTTTTAAATGAAAAATTCAAACAAAAACTAAAGTCACCCTCCACCCCAAGGTTGAAATAACCATTAAGCACATGCTTAGGGCATCACAAAGGGAGGAGGCACCACAAATTTTCAACAGCCTTGGGGCTCAGCATTTATTTTCTCAGCTGAAGCATAGATAAAAAAACAAAACATCAGATGTTATCAGTGTACACATCATCACACCACCATATTTATTTCTCATTACATTACCCTGCACCCATTTTAGGCTGGGTCGACCTGGGATCCAAAGACAATAAAAAAAAAAAGTCTTGGTGGGGATTCAAACACACGACCTCTGAGCTGACAAGAGAACTTCTAGCCATTAAGCTACAACATCTCCTGAAGACTTTGAGCAATGTGTTTACAGTTTATTATTTCAGTTTGTACAAATTACCAGGTTCGCTGTATAATTACTCTGCACACTGACAACTATGAATCTCTCTTAATTAATATAGTGAACAGATGAAAAATGCAATCGTAGCTGTAAGTAAAAAAGTACAGGACAATTGTCCACACCTTTAGGCTTATAGGGCATATAAGGCTAGACCTATATTTTATAGACCAATCGGTGGGTGATGTGGTCAGCATCACGCCGGCTGCCTTTACATAGCGCGACTGCACCTGGTACCCACTCAAGGCTGGGTCGATATGGAGCCAAGGTCACCAGGAAGCAAACCCATGACCTTCCTGCAGCGAGCATATAGCCGCTCCGTTACGGCGACCACCTGTACTTAATTGTAATCAGATCTAATGGTCTCTCAAAAACAATACTTTAGGAACTCGGTAGAGGAGAAGAGATAGATCAAGAAAGACCTGGATACAGAACTTGGCAGGCTTTAGGCATGCAACTACGGAGTTCACTTAATCTAACAGTCAAATATAGAAGGATCTGATCTGATCAGACAGTCAACAGTAACTGGTGACCCTATGACACGGAGTGTTACGGGACAGTGATGATGAGAATGATGTACAGTATTATCCACACATCAAACGTAAACTGATATCTATACACATATGCAAAAACTATGAGTTGAGTTCCCATAAGCGCTCCGTCCCCATCTTCAGCAGCCAGTGAAGAGTTCCGATACTAATGGTGCCAGTAGTATTCTGACTAAACGTCCGTCTTGCCTTTCCTCTGAGCCTCAAGCAACTGGCAGAACCTCTCGTCATTCCCCACTGCATCAATCTCACCAGACTGGTAATCCATCTGTTCCTCCAAACTGTAAACACTCTCCCACAAGACACTAACCACATCTGCCATATCATGCATCAGTATTCCACCAAGTTGTGCAGAGCCAGCCAGGCTGTCCACCTGTTCTTTTCCCAGCCCACCAGCGAATTCCGGTGAAAAAATCCAGACAATACTCCTCACCCATGTCCTTCGCAGTGAAGAATGCCACTCTGCACGAAGCATGCATGTCCTGACCTTTCTCAGCATGCTTTCTGAGACAGTCACAATCACGATGTGTGATTCTTTTTTGCATATGGATTTTCAAAAACTATGATAGTAAATCTACCCATGAAACATAA